TTCATCATTCATCACACTCATTCGCTATTTCAGAACCAAAAGTTACTCTAAACATTTCATGAATCTTCTTTCCTACGGATCATCGTTGAGTACAAACAGCTCTTATTGAAATTGTTATAAAGGTGAATGATATTGTTTCAAAGCAAATCGAAACTACAGCTGAACATTGACAGGTGATTATATTTTAAAAGAGATGCACAAAACGCCCGAATTTCAGAGAACATTTAGTAAAAATCAACAAACCAGAGTCTTCGTCTAAGAAAATACGCGTTACTTTGCCATAATTACAAGTCCCATCAAGTGCTTTCACAACCACCGAATCCCTAACGTGAAGTGTTTCCGGTTCACGAACATGACGAACTGCTTTATAGCAGACTCGCTTGACCGGTGAGACATCGTTCTGAATAAACGAAACAATTCATTCATTTCTTTTCGTGAAACAATTTTTGATGACTCTTTCAAGACTGATACCTTACAAACACATGACATTCACCATGATAATGCAAGTATCTTTCAATCTCAGATGAGCTGAACAAGAATTTTGGATATTCATATCACAACTGAAAAAAATATCATGACTTCAGTTGAAAGACTATCAACAAGGATAGAATCGCCTGGAAAATGATCGTCTAACGAAAAATTCGATGCAAACAGATTTGGAGGGAAGTGTAATAGAGTAGAAAAACCATCAACCTTACCGTAAAGTAGACGTACTGCCTAGATCCACTGCAAACTGGTTTCCAGTTGGATTTATCGATTCGGATTCGTCTCTTCTTACGACTTCCTTTCGATCGATACGATGCACAACTCGAAACACTCGAGACACTGCTGAGACCACTCGATGATGGAGCACATGGAGTGATCACATCATCGCTTATTTTCACTTCGATCGGATCGTACTGAACACCAGACGATGCGGGCGCCGCCTGCATAAAATCGTCATGATGAAGTTATGAACGTGAAGCATGAATTTCAACGCTCGTATGTTGAACGCAATCATGCAAATCACTCAGTTGATTGGAGGAATGTGCGAAATTCATGGTAACAATGCGATTGATTTGGGTATGTGACGATAACAGGTGAAAGACTGCAGCAGAAAAAAAAAGAAGAGCATGAAAAGCTGATCATACAATCTGGCGTTTGAAGTTCACTCATTGAATTCATTGTTCAAATGTAAATCGCTTTTTGGTGATGACGTCAACAGAGACAGAAAAAACTGCAGGAAATTTTCAAGCCATAAAACTTTACGATGGCGTTGACGTTGAAACGAACCGTGGTTTGTTTTTTGGGTGTTCGATTTGCAGCACGCGATTGTGGATTTCGTTTACGAGGACTAATGGCATTGTTGGTGTTATTGGTGGAATGAGATGAGGATAATGATGCGGTTTTATGGCGTGATGAGGCTGCAGCAGCAGATCGTTGTGCAGCGTGGTGCTTCGAGTGCTCCGTCGAAGCGATTGTTGACGATCGCAGCACACGTCTCGGCATGTCCTCTTCTTCGAGTCTACGCAAGAACTCGGGATCCAATGAGGGCGTTAACGGTGTTTCGGGACGTTCTTCACTCACGTCGGTTTGCTCGGCTACTGCGTCCAAGCAAGGTAATGCGTCCATATCGACAACAACCACCGCGTCCGTGGAATCGCCGTCCATTTCTGATAAATGTCTATTCTCTGAGGTTTTGTTCAGATAGCACAAATCGCCAGGCAACGGTGGATCGGCAACCATCAGAAGTGGCACACCATCGGATGGACAGCTACGAGGAGCTTCAGCGTTCACCGACGACAGTTCAGATGGAGACGGTGGATGAACGCTTTCCTCCTGAAACGAAACAAGCGGAATGTACTGAGCGCAGAGCAAGTTAGCTGTGCTGACAACGATAAAACTCTTCTAAAAGACCAACGAGAAAGCCTCCCCGAAGGTTCCACTGACCATGATCAGGAGCCTAAATAAATGCGTTGAACATCTAATCGGCAATGAATTTGAACGGCATTGAATGATAAGTTTCATTATTGATATCACTGACAATTCAACTTTAAGACTGAATGCAAACAGAGAGCGTTAAAGCAACAGAAAATTGCGCTCGTATCCTTAACTGACCCT